GCGTCAACATCTCTCCGTTTCGGCCCCTCTTTTATTTTCGTAAAGTCCACACAATCCTCCTCCGTGCAAATCCCTACAGTAAAAATTTGCCCCCTTTCCTCCCCTCTTGTGCCAAGAAACAAACCCACACAGATCTCCTTTTTGAGCTCCCTGCGCGTGCACTTTTGAAATATATGGGGGCATTTTAAAAAATTGGAATTGCACGCACATGCGCACACACACAAACAACAAGAAAAAAAAAAGTAGAAATAGAAGGAAAAAAAAAAGCTCACCCCCCCCCCCCCCCTCTTCCACATGCCTCTTAAAGCCCAATAGAAACCGTCCTATTTAGTTACATTTTTCCGTCTACATGTGTGATGTCAACATAATAATGGATGCATACATCAATGTTATTGCCCACTGTAATGGGTGGTTTTAAGACAACCGCTAAGACCAATCGCAAAGCAGTGATTTACAATAATAAATAAATAAATAAAATAGAAATCAAAAATGAAAAAAAAAAAAAAAAAAAACAACAAGAAAATAATAATAATAATAATAATAATAATAATAGAGAAAAATAATAAATAAAACCAAATTCCCCTTTCCCCCCCCCCCCCTCCTCTCCGTCCTTCCTCATTTGTATTTACAGCAGATGCGCATGCATAGGGAGGCATAATGCCACCCATTTACGTGTCAATAAATATAAATAATTATCAATAAATACGTTCCTGAAGACACACGTCATATAAAAAAAATTTTTTTTCTGCGTGATTGAAAAAGAGAGAAGTAAAACAACAACAACAACAAAAAAAAAAAAAAAAGGATTTTCTCCACTTATGGGAATATACCAGTCAATATTTATGCTTCCCTTCCCCTCCCCCTCTCCCTTTGCTTCATCACACCGAAAAGAAAATTAAAACAACAACAAAAAAAAAATAAATAAACAAAAGTCGATAAAAAAAATAAATAAAAATGTGCCTTCCGCTGAGGCTTTTTCTCTTCTGTTATTTCACTCTCTCCCCTTTTTTTTTTCTTTTTTCACGGTGTTTTCATGGCGCCTCCGCCATCAGCCACACGTCCCCCGTTTCGAACAGTTCGTCGTGCAGACAGGGGAGGAGTGGAGCGGGCCGCGTGGAAGAAAAAAGAATTCCGCGATGGCCCCCGCTGTGGGCCGGAGAGAAGCAAAGCAAAAGGCCAAACGGGGGTGCTCTCGCGGCCACACAAGACGCAGAGGGACGTGTCGGCCAAAAACAACTGAAGCGTCATTTCGCGGAACAAAAGACAAAAACAAAAAGATGGGAGAACAGGAAAGTGGAACGGTGGTGGTGGTGGCCGCAGGAGCCCAAAAAACAATTCCGCCTCCTCGCCGTACCCACGACAATCACATCCTCGTGCACGCTTGAATTACATATGTACGCATGTATACACAAACCTATACCCGCCGGCTGCAGGGTTCTGTTGCCTTTTCCCCTCACCTCCATCCGTTTCTCCCTTTCCACGTCTTCAGTTCTCTTTTAAATTCCCTTTTTAAATCTCTTTTTTAAATTCCTTTTCCACTTCTTGTTGTTGATTTTCATGAAGGTCCTTTTGGCTGCATCCATCCGTGAGTCTTCTCATTGCCAAGGCATACAAAACAAACAAAACAAGGTGTTTCTTTTTTTACTTTAGCCGTGCCCTCGCACACACACACGGCCTCCTATATTATTCCTCATGCACGGATTCCTTTGCCTTCGCATACCTCTACTTCGGCTTTTCACCAGGGAGTGGCTTGCGCGCCTTCGCGAAGAAGGACGGGGTGAAAATGCCCGACTCACCGCCACCCACAAGGCCCCTTGCGGCCTCTTCAAGGATCTCAGCCCCCCTTGTGTGTGCCACTCGGTGCAAGGCCAGCAAACTCCAACACGCGGCACATTTTGTTCGTAAACCAGCGGCCCAACGGGGAGCACTTGAGGCCTGCCAGCGTCGTGTAGTTCCCTTGCAGCGTCAGGTACCATGGTAGGTTGTGGATCGGACTTGACTCGAAACGCTCAGCCACATCGAAGCTGTCCTCCACAATGAAGCCGGATGCCTTCAGCGCCTCAATCACCTGGCCCTTGGTCTCCAGGTCAGGAAGGCTGTCACCAAGCTCAATTTTGTGGCGAATGCGGCGGTGTTCCTCATTATTTGGATCATACTTCTCAGTGATGCACCACTCGTACAGGACAAAGTAACTGCCGGGCTTGATGACACGGAAGACCTCGCTGAAACACTTCACCTTGTCCGTGGCATGGCAGGTGGCCTCAATGGCGTAGGCACCGTCGTATTCGTTATCGCCAAAGCACATGTTGCAGAAGTCGGTCTTGGTGTAGTTGATCTTGCTGTTCATGCCGTACTTGGTGTCGTGGCGGCGGGCTCGGCTGATCTGGTACTCATTGTTGTTGACCCCCATCACGTTGCAGCCGGCAAGGCGCACAATATTGCGCGCCGGACCCCCCACCCCGCAGCCCAGATCGAGCACCGTGTCCGTCGGCTTGAACTGTCCCTGGTACGCCAGGAAGAACTCATGGCGGGCGAGCGACTCAAGCAGCGACTCGCCGAGATAGCGCGGGGCGAAGTGAAAGCATTGTCCCCAGCCGTACTCGTAGAAGTCTGTCACGATGTCGTAGTACTCATTCACCATCGTTGTGGTCTCCGCCTTGCGCCCGCTGACGGACGCATCTTTTCCCTCAAACCGCTCACGGAATCGATTCGCCGTGGTGCTGACGTCTTTGTTCTCCTCCTCCGCCCTGCGGCTGCGCATGAGGTT